AGGCCTTGAAGTCGCGATCGTAGGAAAAATGAACAAAATGACGTTTCGCCCGTAAGCACAATAAACGTTTCGCTCTAAGCGATTAGTCATTGGCATCGAAGGAATTTCCATGCCTCGATTTTTCAATGTTTAGACCTTTAGATCATCCATTCTTGGATTCTGAATCCGCAAGTTTCATCCGAATCAGTCCGATTGTCCGACTTAACATGAACAATGAAATCTGATAATTGTAGAATGAGTAATCAATACTTCGTCATTTATGCAACTTATAACAGAAGAAATTTATTAGACTCACAAAAGAATTAGGTTGCTAAGAGCTTCTAAAGATTATCGCAAATAAAAATTTGATTTTTTATTATTTAAACAACAATGTTATTCTTACTTTTTATTTTTATGTATGTCTTGTTAAAAATTTAATTTATCACCTGCGCGATAAGTTTGCGAATTTGCGTTGACTATTTTTTAATGAACACAAGTTTTAAGGACCGAAATGTTAAGGAAACGTTTGAAGATCATGAAGCATGGTGCGAGTTATCATTCGATGGACCGTTTAAACAGATCACCGGGTATATCCGAGCATGAAAGAGTTAACTAGCTGCATCGCCGTGGTGCGGCATGCGTAAAGAATCGTACTCTCTTGCGTCGTGTCGCACAACGTCGAGTTACATCGCATACTCTCGGGAACGCTCGGTTGCGATTCACCAACGTCAGCAGTAGTTACGGCTGCGGCCGGCCAATCGACGCGAATCCCGGTGACTCATCGCCGCCGCGGCCTCATGTAAACTCTCTCGTGCCGTTCAGCTCGCAGTCTCCCGCCAATCGCGCCAGCATTCGGATGTACGTCTCGTGCTCTCGAGAAGACGAGGGACTGTGCCAAAATTCGCGCGAGCGTCGAATTATCGGCGTGCCCGTGGCGCGAGAACTATTTATTTTGTGTCAAATGGTGAGGTGAGACACGGCATCTGTGTCCAGGATTAATTTTAAACATGAGAATCAGGAAGGACGCACCTTGCCTACTGCTCCGGCTAGTGCCACTCGAAAATCTCAATTCTTGGAGTAAGTTCAATAAATTTATAAAAACTTTCGTTATCTTAGATTTTTTTTTTTTTTTTTTACAAATACTTCTTACGTCCTTACGCACGCGTGATATCATTGTGTTCACGTGAGAACAAGTCCCTCGGATCAACTAAAAACAAAAATAAAATGAGTCAGTGCTAAGTAATTTAGTAGTAGGATTATCGATTGACTCACGACGTCAACATTTCACATTTGATCACTCCTGTACTTAGATTTTTATTATTTGTTACTTTGATTGTTATTAACTGATTGCTATTTCGGTTTCGTATTACTGAATCATCGTTTCGATGACATCACGCTGACCCAGACGGAAGAATGTATTATTTTGTCTCGGTCTTTGTAGTATAAAAAAAATGTATCGGTTGAACTAGCAGATATTTTCTAAGATGTTTCAAAAAAATAAGGCCTATCAACAAAGATTTCTCACATAATGTTTATGTGCATATTTGCAGCAAAACTTGCAATAAAATCTTAAATATTCGCCCCATTTAAAGATCAAGTTTGGATTGATGATCAAAGACTTGATATTTTTGCCTTATTCTTTTTTAAAAATTTAGGCTAATAACTTATATTTTAAAAGATTCGCACAAAGCATTATGTTTGTACACATATAATGCTTTAAATCCTTAATAAGTCTTATTGCGAAGATATTTGATATATTAAAACCTAGAAAAAATATGTACATTAATATAAAAAATATATATTTTTAAGGAATTTAGGGACTAAAAATATGGTAAAATTTTCGCTTTTGATTAATGCTTTGTTAAAGTCAAAACAAAAATTTTTATTAGTGAAAACCTTTTAATTTTTAGTTGCGTGTAACTTTCTCTAATATGATTCTTTAATAAGTTAGGCATTCTGTATTTTTGTTTTCACATAAATATTCATTATTTTATTATTTTTTAGACATTTTTTATGCTACTTAAGTATTTGGCTTTCTTTCAACAGAGATTATGAATATAACAATAATAATTCTTAATATCAACATAATCTCTTTGATTCCGTAGTGGTAAACATTCTCGATTTTGCGTACATGTTGTTTCGAATCCTTTCTTAAGGACTGTATTTGAGTAAGAGAATTTTCATCGGGTGTGACGATCGTTGCGCGACGATCTCCGTGCAAATCGCACCACCGATTACTATGCCGACCTAAATAAAGTGACCCACATTTGGCTTTTCCGTAACGATCATGCGGCTCGCGACGTTGCTTTGAATGTTAAATCCTTATATCCGGAATGGCTTAACTTTATTTCTAAAAACTTGCTTGTGATTTGTTGAATTGTAACAATATGTTTCATACTAAATTAATTCCTGTTTGCTCCTTTTTATTAAGCACAACAATAATTAATTCTATTTAATATAAATTCAATTTACATTGTTAATAAAAATTCATATCTAGAAAATTTACAAATTTTAGAGATTTTAAAAATTTATCGCATTATTGTTTAAACGAAGTTTAATTAAAGTACAACTAAAAAGGAACGAAATTATATAATCTTTTTTTACTTATAAATTACTTATTTTTCAAAATCTGGTTAATTATTTATGGTTAATAACTTGACTTATGAATACTTATCGTTAGAAGCGCGCGCACTTCATAATTACCAACATTCAAATTATATAAGCTACACAGTATAAAAAAATATCTACATTGCTGAGAAATTATACAACCAAGATACGATCAATCAGAATTCATAAAAAGTCAATATTGAAATAATGACAGGTAAAGTTTCTTTCGTACTTCGACAACTTTAAAAAAAAAAATTACTTCAACGCTTATGTAAAGCGTTTGATTAACTAGCATTACGTGTACGCTGTCACGCGTGTTCTCGATTTAAAGTCGTCGAAATCGGAAAGGAGCTTTGCCAGCGTTGGAATAATGATTGGCGACGACAGTTTGGGGTTGGTGGCCGTTCCGCGGCAGCCACAACCGTGAGGGCGAGGGAGGGTGCGGGACGCGGGGAGCAACGAGTGAGTCATCGTTGAGCCAGGCCAGGCCTTAGCAGCCGCAGGTCAGGAGAGGAAGACACTTTTAGCCCACATTTCTTCCTCGCCTTCTTCTCTTCTCTTCGCGTACTCGGCGTTTCTTTATTTTTATCCGCCGTCGTTTATTCTCGGCTCCGTTTCTTCCCTTTCCACCCATTTTTTCCGCGCCGTCGCGTTATCCCACCCTTTATCCGCGCCTTTGTCGCGGGACCCCGGCAGGCTGCTCCGGATAACAGCCATCAGAAATTTCTTTTAGATCTCGCTTCTGAGACGCTTACAATTGATTTTTTTTTTCAATCGCGGAAAAAAAAGAAGGAGCCCGGTAGCCTAGTGGCTTATTTAGGAGCGCGCAAAAATAGGCATTTCAAAAACGTACAAATAAACGCGAAAAGGTCTCCACTTCTCGCTTCAACAACTTGAAACACTAAATATACAGATCAACTTATAAAACTGATATTTCAAGAGACGTAAAAATAGAGTTGCACTATCCAATTAGTCTTTGATACGTTCAATCGAGGTTTATTGAATCCGATTGTAATTTTTAAATCTTTTTTAGCAGTTCTAATTATTTGCAAGAATTGATGTTTATTCTTACTTTTGTGAATTATTCGAGAAAGAATTTAAAATCGTAAAAAAAAATATAGAAAGAATCCATTGAGATACGCAAATGAAATTTATTGTTAGTTTTTTACGGTTTTCTTCTTTTTTTTGTGATTGTAAATTTAGAAGTCCTATTTGTGTTGTTTACCTTTAAAGGTTTCTCCGAAAAACAACTTTTAAAATCTTTCGATGTTTCCTCGATACTTCGAATTGTACTCGAATTTTTGGGCTACTTAATGTCTGGAAACTCATTAGATAATTTTTAACCTTGATAATTTTAGGATTTTTAGATTCTTCTGAAAAAGAAGAAGCCTTGTTGCATTCTTTACATTCTTAGGGTTCCCGACTTTTAACATTCTATATCTGACATTGTGAGATAGTCTTTCAATACTCGCAGCTTTATGTCATCCGTTTGAACCTTCTAAATTATCTCGTTTTTCAGATATGGATGGGATACTCGCGTTACTATACGCATTTAAAATCGGACAAACAAATCGATCACTCGGTCGGATATGCGTTAAAAATTTGTCTTTATTTACGTGCAGAGTTATCGTGCTACTTTATAAATACGAATGAATTGAGGCGTCAGCAATTGATGCAAAACAAGATTGATAGTGACATTACTGCCCCGATACGAGAAAAAAGAAACCGCATTAGTAAAATATAAATGGTGCTCTAAATAAACAATCTATACGAAGAATGTACAAATACAGAGCGAAGATAGTCGCGACGAGTTATAATTACTTTAGAGCATACGAAGCGTATATAGACGCGAGTTAATCAATAAAATTGGCCTGACGAGAACGTTTCTCCGAGTATATCCATCAGATATAGAATCGTGACCAACCGTTGTACACTCATTGTTTATCGATACACGGCAAGCGTGTATATTCCGTACGCGTTTGAAAGCTAGAGTACTAGCCTGGCTCGATTCGTGGTAATTTTTGCTACGCGAATAATTTAGGAATATAACTTTTCAAGACGACGAGCTATTCTTGTAATCGTCCCACGCGTGGCGATAAATCGAACATATGTTTGCATTGTATTTCACACGGCGTGATAAATATTTACAAGTTCATTATCGCTTCCTTATTTTTCAATTCTTCTTTTCATTCTCAAAAGCTCGACATTGTAACGATCGCGAAAATAACGAACTGACCAATTTTTATCTTTCGTTTTAATGAAAATTGAGATAAAAATATTTCTGCGTTAGCTAGTAGAAGAGATGAAATCAATCAGCTTTCGCAATATATTGTATCCGCGTGTTTCGAAAATGTCAATTGTATTTTCCGCTCGAGCTTTCCAACAAAAATCCACTGACGGTTTTCTCGTTTCAGGCGGACACCGGGAGTTTCACGCGCAGCATCGAGAACTGTGCGAGGCGACGCTGTTGCCGAACGGCACCGCCGCCGTCGCGCCCGCCGCGGCCGACGCCTCGACGACGACGGTGAGCGGTTGCACGAGCCCCGGACCGGGCTGTCCCGTGCTGAGCGTTTCCGGTCCACCTACCCCGCAACCGGCGGACATCGACAGCCATCCGGCGTCCCGCGTGCTGCCGTTCCTCTACCTCGGCAACGGCCGGGACGCCGCCGATCTGCAGCTACTGCGCGCCCTCGGCGCCACCCGCGTGCTGAACGTCACCTCGCAACTGCCCGGCTACCACGAGGAACGGGGTATCACGTACAGGAAGATACCCGCCTCGGACTCCGGCCAGCAGAACCTCAAGCAATACTTCCAGGAGGCGTTCGAATTCATCGGTGAGCGCGCGCGCCCGATTTTGCCCCCGGAACATTTTACATTTCCGGTGAAAGCCTTCGTTCTCGGAGGCGAGAATCCTTTTGTGCGATGTTTGCGTACCTGGAAAAAATTCCTTTCGCCAATGAATGACCTCTCGCATTCCACCGAGAATTGAATTTCGGAACTGTCCCTCGCGTACGAACTTTACGACTGCGATTACGTTCTCCGCAACTTTATAACAGTAACGAGAGTCACTGCCGCGCCGATCTGTAATCCTGAATATCGCCGGCCAACGTCAATCGTCGGTTAAGCGTGATTTCCACGATTACATCAGCGATAGATTATGCCGTTCTTCTTCCGGTCGTTCCGTTGCGCTCATTCCGTTGCGCTCATTCCGTTATTTCGCTGCAAGTAGTAGCGGGCGCGTGAGCGGAAACAGGGTGTAACCAGACGTTTCCGGTGGACCATTGAACCAGAGCGCTCCAGGAGACCAGAAGAACCTTTCATTCATGAAAGTATGAGTCATACGCGCGCGCATCCGTGAAACATAAGAGACCTCCCTCTTCACCTCTTGACCCTGCTCTCTTTCTCTCTCTCTTTCTCTCTTTCTCTTTCGCCCTTTCTCGCTCCTTCTCTCTCCTTCATCCTTGACGTCGATTTCTCCTGTCGTGCGTTTTACGCACCGTTTGTGCGTATACGCATCTGCGAAGAGGCAAGGCGCGTGGAGGGAGAACGGCAGTCGTGCGTGGCGTTTGTAAGGGCTCGAAAAGGGACGAGGGAGAAAGAGAGGGGGGTCGGCTCCCCCCTTGGCGTGCAACTGGTGGAATGCCGGTTGAATAAACCAACTCCGCACCCTCCCAGTTAGGGCTCGATCTTGCCGTAGGTTTATTTTCAAGAAGCACGCATTCCCACGCGTATAGTAATTCGTTCAGCCCCAAACTCGATAGGAGTTTCGATTCCTTTTGTCCGGGCACGCGGTTCCTTGCATACAATTAAATTGCGCAAAATATAAACTCCATGAATAGAGCGAAATGATTTCTGTTTTCTGCACGATCGCGACGGTTGCGATGCTACCAAATTATTTTTAAACGTATGATGAAAAATTGGTGTCTCAACGCATTCGAAATCTCTCGATAAATATGTTTTCCGTTCCACGCATTCTCTCATAAATAATGTGCGAAAAGTTCTTTTCTTTTATTATGATCGAGTCGAATTGGATTAACGGATTTTCGAATGTCCTTAAAGTTTTTTCTATTTAAAATGTTGTACAAAACTTGTCGAACGCGCAGTTGAACTTTCTCACAGTACAACAGAGAATGTCTGCATAGGATCCGGGCGATGCAGTGACTCACTAGCGATATGATAGCGTCTCCCATATATTGCATAACGGACTCGGCCGTTCAGGTTTCACGACTGTTTCATTTTAGTATTCACGAGCTCGACTAGTCCACATTTTTCGAAAGCGCGCAATCCAAGTGACATCATCAATATTCAGAATCTTCAAGTTTCAAAAGGTTTAGAGCTCTCAACGTAAATAAACGCATATTAGTAATGCAGCGATGTGTATTGTAAATCAGAATGTCTTCTCTATCAATACAGTTTTCGAAAAATAATAAGAATTGGAAAAAACCATCAAAACTTTATCACTCGAAAATATGCACTTGAGCGCGCGGTGGACGGAATAAGTTGAAAATAAAATAAAAAGCAAATTAATAAATTCAATTACAATATCTGAGAAACACCGCCGTTATGAGAGAAAATATTCATCGCTTTTATCTTGATATTTCAGAAGAAGCGCGGAAAACCGGAAGCAGCGTGTTGGTGCATTGTCAAGCCGGCGTGTCGCGCAGTGCGACAATCGCGATCGCGTACATAATGTGGCACAAGGGTCTGTCGATGGTGGAGGCGTACAAGCTGGTGAAAAACGTGCGTCCAATCATCAGCCCCAACCTGAATTTCATGGGTCAGTTGCTGGAGCTTGAGCAGGGTCTGCGGGCGTCCGGCGACGTCGGCGGCTCCGCGCCGGAGGAATCCACGACGGCGACGGCGACGGCGACGGCGACGACCACGACGACGACGACAACGGGTAGCTGTCATCAGTGCAGATGGAGTCATCAGCCTAACAACGAGGAAGTGGTCACCTCCGGCTGTAGCGTCTGAGACCGGGCCCCTCTCTCGTATCTTCTTCTCTTTGGTCTCTTTCGAGAGTACCGCATCGTCGGCGCCAGCGTTGAAGCGTCGTACAACGCGCGCGGCAACAAACATATCCCGAGAGATCGTCGAGAGCGAATATCGACGTTCTTCCTGCGCCTCTTCGCGACGAATCCGAATGACGAAGCTATAGATCGCGGGATGGTTAAAAAAAAAATAACATCAGATTTAAAACCGAAAAACTGTGGAACGCGAACGTCTGCTGCGTCTGCGGGATTTTTGGTCTTTAAACCTTTATACCTTTCGATATTTGAGTTATCGTGCTTCTCTCGCGAAAGATGTGCGAGGTTCTTTAGTCTAAAAATCATTGACTTTTCGAAATTTTAAATCTTTTTTAAGTATTCCCGGATTCCCCGTGCCTTCGGAACGAACATCCAGTTAAACAAAATGATAAAGTCATACTGCCGATCTGACAAATCGATTTATTTAAGGGATGCGATACAAGTCGTATGAAGAAGGTATGTCGTATTCTTATGAGAAATAATTCATATTATTAGTATCGCATACTATAATAATATTTCATGTGCTCTGTAAGCGACAATAAATCACTCCGATCATCAGCCAAGCAATTTTTTAGCTAGACAACGCTTGACGCGTTACGAATATCGACGTGACTTCTTCACACTTTTGTATCCGAGAAGAGTTGCACGGAGACTTTTTACTGCGGAGAGGCGCAAAGTGACGGGGAGCGTACATCGCGCGAAATATAACTTGAGCAACGCTCTCTTCCAACTTCGATAACGAGCAGCGCGCCGCGATTACTTATTGTCGTATGACGTTCGCGCGAACGATAAACGTAACTTGTACTTACGACACACAGTGTTCCCTAATAAAGCCTTGTCTGAGTCAATAGAGAAGCAAGTGAAACGTGCGGAATGCTCGCTTGTTAAGTAAGCGGTGTTATTGCTCGCTATTGTTTATGCAAGAGGAAGCGAGGAAGGAAAATATCGCCGCCGGCGGAAATGACTGTTCGAATGATTAATCATTAGGCAGCTCTAAAGGAAAACTCAGGGAATAAATATTGCAAATGAACTTTTATTTGTAGCTCAATGGCTAATGAATAATATTAATCGGTTAAATAGCAATTGAAATGTTATTCAACATTAAACGCGCAATTTTGGCGCGTCTTGATGGAACAAATAAGCGATTGTGCGATTTACTCCTAAATTAGTGGCGCTCTTCTTGCAACACATTCTTTAAACTAATAGCTCCGAAACCGCAAGCCGCGGAACGATTGCACAAAAAGCGATAAGGCAAAGATATTAGCTTGAAAACAGGTGAGAACCGCGCGCTTGCCTCTCCATTGACCTCCTGCAAATCAGGCGTGAATTTTCGTTGGGAGAATTATCGTCTGCACAGAGAAGATTGCTCTCGAATAAACATGTACGGGATGTCACGAGGAAGAAATAACGAGGTTCTAGTCTAAACTAATGGAGTTACTTTTGCAGTAATAGAGTCTCAGGTAGTTCTATTTTTCCATGCAACACATAATAAGTTATATTAAACGGTAACGATAAAAGACAATTTTATTCATTTTTCGATGTCAAACATGCAATCGGTAAATGTTGAACGCAGATCGCACTTTCGAGATTGCACGGCGCGCTTGCATTTTCGGAGAAATTTTTGATTCGGAGAGTTGTTTTTTCCGACGTAAGAGAGAAAATATTGCGTATTTTTAATATTGTAGCTGTTTTTAAGAGATATTTTTTTTATTTAATGCGGACAAATATGGAAGAATAGCAATTCTCGTATTGTTTTCAAACACTTTTATCAAATGTATTGAGTGAAAGACGGAAAGAAATATATACAGCTATTGCAGCAGGGAGGAGATTTCTTCGAGAATGCAACTTTATCGATGTTAATATTCCTTCTCTTGAGGCACCCTGTACATCGGGATCACGTAAAGTGGAGTGTTAATTTAAGGATCAGTCTCTGTGAAAGAATGAAAACTTTGTTAAATAAAGTGAAAACAGTCGTTTAATTAATTCGATTAATTAATAATACATCTATGTAAGTGAAGAAATTGTAGTGAGATAGAGAGAAAGAAAGAGAGAGAGAGAGAGAGAGAGAGAGAGAGAGAGAGAGAGAGAGAGAGAGAGAGAGAGAGAAGAGAGAGAAGG